TTCTCCTGAAAATAAGGTGGATTTTGTTTTCATTTTGATTTCAGAAAGGGTGGCAAGAAGACATCAGCAACAATCTGCATCTGTGTCAGATGGATTCGTGAACATAACCTATATTGAAAATGAGAATAGTTCCAGTATTTTCCCAGAAGCCCCACCTCCATATACGCGTAAGTTTAGAAACAATTGGACTTCAATAGTAGATTGTTTCATTGGATCAAAAGGGACACTTTGTTTGACAAGCGAATTTTGCATTTACGAAGCCAAGCAGAAGCAAAATTTGCGAGTCAAACAAAGTCAATTTTGATCCGAATGACACATGTTATTTTTACTGCAACAGAAAGAATTGACTGAAAAATATGTGGTGAGAATATTCTACCTGCATTGACATTTTTTTTATCGCTTGGAGCGCACGAAAGGAAATCCCTCGCAAATTTTGCCTTCGCTCGGCTTCGCTAAACGTTCCGCTTCGCAAATGCAAAATTCGCTTGTCAAACAAAGTGTCACTTTTGATCCTAATAAAACAATCTACTATTATTCTTGATGACCTCTAGTACATCAAGTTGATTCTTAGCTCCTAGGAACTAAAAGTGTTGCCTAGCAACATATCTATGTTTGTGTAAGTAACAGAAACGTCAATTCAAGAGCTTCTTTTGGTATTAAAATGGACGATTTTGGTGTCAGTTGCAGAAAAACTTGTTTTTTTCAATTTATAACCGCAAGATCATACTCAATACTACTACTACTTAAACTAATTCATAATCAATGTGTCAACATAGCACGAATGCAAAAAAAATCTTCGCAAATTCTCAAATAATTAGGGCTTAATTGGGAGATAATGTACTACAACAGGTATATGAATGTTGATATAAAGTATACATTGCGATGAAATTATGATTAACTGATTGAATGTTGATGATGAATTGCAATTCTCTTGAGTTTTTTTATATTATCTTCTGTTTCATTAGAGTCAACTTAAAAAGTTTATGAGAGTTATACAGGGTAACATTTAGAAAACTCCCCACCCCCAATATCTTCCTTCTAGTGAATAATATGAAGAATCAAGAAAACAACTTAATTTTATTTTCAAGGGGGACACCTTAAATGAATATTTCTAGCTCTCATGGTTCAACCCCCTAGGAGGGGTAGATATTACCCTTAAAATTTCAGATAGGAAAGGGGGTCAAGTGGCACATCATTTCTTGATGATCAGTTTTCTGAAAATCGAGAAAAAAATTACGTTCTAAACTTACAGAAGTAATGTGTTGTGTCTGTTCGACTTCGTAAAAAGGGCATCCGAAATATTTTCAAATAATAATGCTAAATAAATTTATTGGAATAACAAACAAAACGAACAATTTGCAGTTCCTATACAAAGTGAGCTTCTGCTTATGCATATTCATTTTCAGATGCTGATCCGCCTCCCAAGTACGATGACATCATAAAGGAGCACGACGTTTCGGTCACAGCGAACATTCCCAGTAGAACACCAACAAGTCCCATTCCCGATGGAAGACCAGTTGCAGTACATTCATCTCCACCCCCGTATACAATTTCCATTTGAAAAAATAGATATAAGGAACAGCCGAAATACAAGGCTGAATAAGTTTTTGATTACACAGGAAGTTCAATTATTTGCCCGAAAAAATTAAGTGGGTGATAGATATCAATACAATACAATAAGTTTATTTTCCATTGGACATTTTGGCATGTATAGGAATTGTCAGATTGAAGCCTTAAAACTAGACAGTTTGAGATAGACATAATATAAAATGATAATATTTCAATATTACAGAGACAGAAACAAAAAAACTAGGCTGCCGAAAAATATTCTTCTAAAGTATAGGGAATCATTTCCAGTAGGAATTGCTTCAAGTTTGTTTTGAAATTACTGAGTTTTTTGAAGTTTTTCAATCGACTGGGAAGTTTATTGAAAACTTTGAGTCCAAAGTAATTGGAAGAGTTAATCGTGTAATCTCATATTTACCCATTAGAATGTGATAATTGTCACATTGTCTTGTACTTATACCATGTACATATATTCCTATTAGTAATAAATTCTTCTCTGTTCAAAAATACATAAAAACATAATTCAAATACAAGAACACCAATGACAGTTAAAATGTTAAGGCTATTGAGAATATTTCGGCAAGATTGCCGACTAGGTATGCCTGCTATTATTCTTATAATTCTTTTCTGTACAATAAAAAACATCCGATGATAGAGTAAGTAGAGTTACCCCAAAAATTTATACCATAACGGATTCGTGAGGAAACTTGAACACGATAGAGCAACAACTTCTGTTTTTCTGTAAGTATTGTTTTTAGACTCCGAAACATATAACAGAGAGAATTTAGTTTCTTTATCAATTTGTTGCAATGTAATTACCATGTTAAAGAGTCATCTATGCCGATTCCTAGGAATGTTAACTCATCAACATTTCCCAGCATATCACCATGCACAGATATATCCATTTTTGAGCAACGTTTTTGCCGATGATGACATCTCAATACGTTAGTTTTTTCTACATCGAGAAATGCTAGGGACATAATAGTTTTAACACCACTAAGTAGGCCAAGCAGGATTTTTTTAGACCTTACACTGCATAGGCAAATTCAATTATGAATAAAACTTGGATTTGTATTGCTTCAGCTTTTTTTTTATTAAACTGGCCGACACTGTAGAAAATAGTATAGTTTTCAACGGCACCAAACGATAATCATTTCACACGAGAATGGAGTTTGCAAATCATACGAGTAGGAAATTAGCATTCCATGCGAGTTATACACTTTACCTATTCTACGGCTGAAACAGATATCAGCGGAGGGTTTTTTAATTTCTTCGGCTTGTATAAGTAGTCTGATTTTTTCCTCCAGCTCATTTATTAGACAGAACTGTCATTGCTTGAAATCTGAACACTTGAAATAACAACAGAATGAAGTCATTGTGATATCATATAAGGAAATGACGATATACAAAGTACTTCACACTCGCAGGGAGTGTTACTTTCTCTTCATTATTCATCAGAGTACATTTTTTCGAAAAAATTTAGTTGGTATTTAGATAACAAGGTATACAGAGAAGATATCAATGAAGACATTTTTTGAAACCGAGCTAACAAAGTTAGCGAGACAAGAATAGTTTTCTGTTATTATATATTTTATTAATTTATCATGTTGAAATTCAATAATGGTGTGTTTTGGAGCTAGAAAAAATAATATACAAGATCTTTCAACAAAAAATTACTTGCTCCTGTTGGTTTCGGTTCTTGGGGTTGCATACTGTCAAGCCAACTTTATATGTTCACATCCACCTCTATAAGCTGAAGGAGATTGATCCATTTTTTTCAACTCATTGATCATCTCGATTCAGTCTGATTAATTTCAATGTATAATAGATAGGTACATGAGTATTAATTATTCCATAAAATTGCTATTGACTTTTGTGTGAACTATCAATTAACTAGATCAAGGGATGCTATCCGTATACTGAAAATAATAATTTAATGAGACGGTGAATTGAACTTTTGTTTTATTATTCATAAAACAGATCTGGCTATAGATATGCTCAAAACTTCGATTATATCTAATTGTTTTCTTCAACTAATACACCTATTTACACTTCACAATATAACAGGGACGTACTTTACTAAAACATCGAAAAAAATATCACTTTCTCCCGAATTGTAAAGAACTTCCTGTGTTTTCAAACTGAATTTCGTGAGCTCATATAAATAGAATGGTAATTTTTTATTGTGTATTAATTTTTGATACACCAAATAATACAGGGTGACTCATCGAAAACGTACCGCAAGCCAATAGAGGGTGAGACAGAAGTCTCCCACAATTGTATTCAAATTTTTATTAAAAAGTGCTTTCAATTACCTGAAAATTATTGAAAAGGAATATTCTCAGATATATTATGAACATTGCTACTTAGTTTTTGAAAATCGTTCCACCTGTTTGGCAAATATGGAGCCTAGGAAAACCAACAATACGTTTGACGGAAAATTCAAAAACTAATTTTAATCAACTCAAAAACTCACGTTTTTGTGAGTGAATAGTCATCTCGTTCTCCATTACTTAGATAAGTTATAGAGAGCTAGCTATCTTCTGACTTAATTTGAACCTTTTAAGTAAAATAGAATCGATTTTTGCATTTTTGCAAAGTTCTATCCCAGCTAAAGCTTTGAGGCACGTTTTATAGATGGGCTACCATGTAAAAAGCTAGTGTTATCTCATTTTATTGTTGTTCAACAACTTCATTTCAATGAAGTTGTTAGAAATTTGAAATGTATAAACTTTAGAGTGGAATCCAATAAATTCAAATGAATGAAAAAAAAAACGCATTACCTACTATTGTATAAGAACTTCATGTCTCTAGTGATTGCCAAATTTATTGTATTGAACAATTGTATTTTATTGTCCACTGAAAATAATCATCATCATGTTTTTGTAAATAGAGCATTTTGGATTAAGTATATGCTTGCTAGTTTCAGTTGAATCGATACAAATTTTATTGCACGAAAAGTATTTTGCGTGACCATCGCATCCCAGGCAGCACACGACGTCCCGAGGACGTACATATTACGTCCGATTCGAGTCTGTACGTCCCGAAACCTAATATGGACTTTCTCGGAACGTCCTCGAGACGTACAGAGCGTATACTTTTTCAGGACTGCCGATCATATCTGCCGATTCATTTGATAATTTGTCACAATGAATCAAGTGATTTTTTGTGACCAATGTGAGAAATTGAAGTGGATCTGGCAATGTGTTGGCACATTATTATCCTGAATAATTTATATCAAATCTTTATAGGATGCCAATTTCGAAATATATAAAGATGAATTTATATGCACATTCTACGTCCTGTCCTACATCTGACCAATCAGAACATTACTTGGATGTTTTGAACAGAGGTAAGTCGAATACTACCCTGTATGCCTCGCCACCGAAAAGCAATTACCCGATCAAAGGAAATCCAAACCGCCCTATATGAATCCCCAAATTAGCAAGGACCCCCAACAGAACTCCTCGACATGTCTGAAGGCAACCCGATCATCGAATCCTTCAAATACAACGTGCTTATCATGAAAATATGTGGTATTTACCCTCCAGACGCATGGCCAGAATGGCGCTACAAAATGTATGGCTATTTCTCCTACTTCACGATAACAGTGCTCTTTCCTATTTTGGCGATAATCAACTTGATAGTTGGCGAGATAGTGGATATCCACCAAACGTGCTGGAGCATCGTCCTGGCAATAGAGACTGGAGCACTGATAGTGAAGGCATTCGTCTTCGTACAAAAACCAGAAAAGGTTAAAAAAACTAGAAACGATTTGGCTAAGGACATTTTCAATTCTTACACGCAAGATCAAGAGTACATAATCAAGGATACTATAAAGGAGTATTACACTGTCTTTATTGCTATCTCGACGTTTAGCATCGCTAGTTTTTTTGCTTCGTTTTCTTTAATTTTTTTCAGCCCAGAGAGAACGTTACCTATCAATCTTTGGTTGCCCTTTGATGGTTTCACTGATACAAGAATTTATGTGGGAGTGTTGATATACGTGGCACTAGGTGAGTTTCAACGAAAAATAAGATCACTGTCAAAGCCAATACTCTTTCTACTCACTGAATGTACGCAATTTGCTCTTGCTTCTTTATTGTAGAAAGTAAAACCTCTTGATGTGCCTGGAGAATAAAAAATAAACCAGAAACATATCAACCCCCTTCAACCTTCAATATTGACATTATGTTATGGACAATTTTGTAAACATGTACAGTTGTGTGCAAAACAAGTCGTACAAGGTTTATATAGTGTAAACCTGAATAATTTTTTCAGGTAATGGTCACGGTTGTTGTCAGAATTTTTCTTTGGACACCATGATAGTAGGGATGATTTTCCAATCAGCAGCACAAGTGCGTATTTTGAAAAACAATTTGGAATTTCTGGGAGACAATGTTGAAAAGGAAATCCGATCGCAAGGAGAATTATCCGAACCTGAAGATGAACTGAGGTCGAAACTTGTTTACAGAAACATTTGTCAGTGTGTCGAACACTATCAATCTATATTTGAGTGAGTATACAGGGTGTTCATTTCAGGACTTCCCACTCTAATTTTCTCGAAATGTGTGTATGTTTTTGAAAAATCCCGAGACACGTCAACTACATTTTCGAGGGGGACATGGTTCTGAAATAATTTCAGCCCCGCGGCGTTGCCGCTTCTAACGAAAAGAAGCAACAACTTTATTATTTCAAATGAAACACCCTGTATTTTATTGCATTTTTAGATTCTCCCTGAATAGTTGATTTCATCAATGTATCACACTTGGGGTCTAGCAGGAATGATTACAGAGATATAGGGTGTTCAAAATCGAGATTTTACAACTTTAGGATTTTTTTGAGTCGAAACTATTCATTATTGGTCAAAACGGCTTTTATGTCCCAATCTCAACTTTAGATTTACTATCTACTGACATTTATTTGAAACAAATACAGGGTGGTTCAAGATTCAGACTTTTGATCACCCTGTATTTGTTTCAAATAAATGTCAGTAGATAGTAAATGAAAAGTTGAGACAGGGACATGAAAGCCGTTTTGACCAATAATGAATAGTTTCGACTCAAAAAAATCCTAAAGTTGTAAAATCTCGATTTTGAACACCCTATATCTCTGTAATCATTCCTGCTAGACCCCAAGTGTGATACATTGATGAAATCAGCTTTTCAGGGAGAATCTAAAAATGCAATAAAATACAGGGTGTTCCATTTGAAATAACAAAGTTGTTGCTTCTTTTCGTTAGAAGCGGCAACGCCGCGGGGCTGAAAATATTTTAGAACCATGTCCCCCTCGAAAATGTAGTTGACGTGTCTCGGTATTTTTCAAAAACATACACACATTTCGAGAAAATTAGGGTGGGAAGTCCTGAAATGAACACCCTGTATAGTTGGCCAATGATGATATTTCAATGGATGAACAATTATGATTGTACGAATTTTGAAACTCGTGAGTATACAGGGTGTTTCAGAAATTGGGGTAGTAAATGAAATAGGTAATAGAAAATGAAAAATCAAAACGGAATGAACGAATAGAATTTCGTCGAAGAACAATTATTTTGGGAGATATTGACATTTTAAGTTCTGCAGCAACTTTTGAGAATCCCTGCCCAGATGTTAATACATACAAATCATCGAGAGTTGGTTTTCCGAGAGCACATATTGTGGAGAGTATTCATAATTTTGGCATTGTTGCCGGGCAAACAAAGTTACTAGAGAGCGTGAAAAATATTGAGAAAAAGTCAACTTGTTAGAAATCAAACCAGTGCTTCCCAAACTATAGTGAGTTCAATCATCAATTTTTCGAAAATTTCCTAAAGTTCCAAAAATGTTTTTTCTTGCTATTCATTGTGACAGTATGTGTAATCGAACACCTCATTATATTTATTGTTCCAATCTCGGAAACACCCTGTGAGTATGTGATTATGAATATTTTCAATTCCATGGAGCGTTTATGTTACAATAAAAATATAATTTGCAAGTTGCAAATGTAATTGTAACAAATAAAAGCATAGTGGAAGTAAATGAGCAAATGCCCAAAGTTTGATATTTTGTAATTTGAAGGAAGTGAATGCCCGGGCGAAATCAAAATAAGATTGAATTATTCAACTCTTTCAGGTATACAAGAGACATAGAAGGTGTTTACTCAATGGTAATTTTTGCTCAACTTTTCTCTAGCATCACAATCATTTGTATTTTATTGCTAGAACTCTCATTGGTAAGTGAAAAACATAAATACATGATAGATGATATTGTACTTTCTTCTTTCAGGTGGTGCCATTTACTTTTCAATTTTTTTCTACCCTCATTTTCGTTATCACGATGCTCACACAGATTTTTCTATTCTGTTACTATGGAACCATACTAAGCAGAGAGGTATCTATAGTACATTACAATAATTCATTATCTGCTGTCGGAAATTCAACGATTCTAACATGAGTTTGAAATTAACAAAAAAAGTTTCATTTCAACATAGCCCTCTGATTGGTTTTCACTTTTTGGGGACTTTTATGAGTTCTCTCCCGAAGTATCTATTCAATGTGTAGCCTAAAGAATGTATTAATTGTTTGGTTGACTTTGATAGAGGAAGAGCAATTGTTCAAAGAAATGGAGTTATCCATATCTGTGATATTTTTGTATCGAAAATAGCAAAAATATCATCGACATATCTAATCCAAACTATAGGGAAATACTGGAAGTTTTCTTTTGCGTTCGCTTCAAACCGATTCATGAGCAGTTCAGCCAGAAAGGAGGATTAATATATAGTTTCAACAATCTAATCAAATGATTCAATCATTCCTAACTTCTGTGGAGCAGTATATTTTTATCGCTATCCACTCATCGCGCAAATTTTCAATTAAAATTTATTTATTATTTTTACTGGACGAGAAAGCTGTCCGAGTTCTTTTTTTTGTAGAGTGAAACGGTTAACACTGCTATCTACATGAGCCAATGGTACAACTACGATAAGAAATCGAAGAAAAGTCTTTTCACATTGATGGAAAGAGCAAAGAGGCCCATAAAAGTAACAGCAGGGAAATTTTTCGATCTGTCTTTAGACACATTCACATCGGTAAATTATCGAGTTACTTAGGTGCAAGATACATGAAGAAATAATATTGATTTCAGATATTGAGAAAATCATATTCATTGTTAGCCGTGTTGAAGAATTATTATTAGAAACAGAAAGAACGACACCTCAATCAGATCCTGGTGGTTATGAACTGTGTGTACCTTGGATGAAAATTGATTATTATGATTATCTAATTTTTTTTTTTTTTTTAGTTGCTCTTTCATAATTTTCACTGCTATAAACATGTATGTTTCTTGGGAATAATAATAAAGATGATTTGGTTAACTGTACCAGACCAAAAAAACAATTAAAGAAATGAATGTTGACTTTTGTCGAATCAGGATAATTTTCAATCAGTTCTGTACATCTCCGGGCTCTTTCATTTTCTTTCGAGCTGCTCTGTTGGACTGTTTTTGTGGAAATCTATCAAACAAACTGTAATTGCTTTTTAGCAAATGAGGTTGAATACACTTTTCTATTATTCGATTCACCAAGTCACTTACATATAGTACAATAGTTTTAGTTGCTTACCTAATAAAAAAAAATCTACAGTCGTGATCCACTTTTTTCTAGTGATTCACACGAGACCAACGAGACGAGACTTTCATAAAGTCTCGTCTCGTCTCGCCGATGAAATATGAAGTCTTGTCTCGAGTCTCGTCTCGCAGGGTCCAGTCTCGTCTTGTCTCGCGTCTCGTACGAGAGTCTCGCAAATGTATCGCAATTTCGTCATGCATAATCTTCTTCCAATCTAATACGGGATATTTATCTTTACCTACTTTTTAGGTATAACGTAGAAGTTGGAAGAGGAAATTACAACAAAAATAACATTATTTATTGAAAAATAAGTACCTAATAGGTACATACTAAAAGACGATAGGCGATGCAACCGTGGCGTCGGCGGCCCGTCAAAACAAAGTTATTCTTTATCTTAGACTATTTAAGCACAGAATGACTAATTTATAGATTTTCAGGAAGTCATTCAATTTGCGATCTGTCGTTATTGCAGAATTGTCTTTATATTCCGCCGCCGTAAGAGAGAGAATAGTCCGTTTTCGTTTCACGCATTACGTCGTTTTACAACAATCATGGATTGTGTTTTTGAAGTATTTATGAATGAAATGTTTCATCAATCTATGCTAAATAGTCTGATTTTTCAAAATATGTTGTATTATGAATGAAAGTCTCAAGTCTGCAGACGGCACGCAGAAATATTTACCTGCGAGACTCTCGCACGAGACACGAGAAGTCTTGCACGAGACTCGAGACGAGACCAATAAAAGTCTCGTCTCGTCTTGTCCGAGTCTCGTCTCGAGTCTTGTCTCGAAAACGAGACGAGACCATGCGAGACTCTCGAAAACGAGACTCTCGCGGGCACCACTACTTTTTTCTCAATATTATTGGCTGTGGTGCCTACTGAGACGTCACTGGTAAGTGCAAGTACCAAATTTCAATCAAATCGGTGTGAGTATTAATGATAGGTACTTTTTAAATACCGTATTTTCAAAATTTTCCAAGGCCCTGTATCTCAGATGCGAAACAACTCATCTCGTACCGTAGTTACGAAACATCCTGTAATATATTATGATCTTTCGATTACTCGATATACACAACGTTAGTGTATCTGATTAGTCATTTTGTGGTGAATGTGGAAGGAACTACATCAATTTGTGTTTACGTTTCCTGATAAAATGTTGGTTGACTGTCACACAGTCAGTATACAGGGTATCCCTGAAAAATTTGTACAAAATGATACCATAGACTCCTGAGAATAAATTGAGATGATTTTACAGGTTGGAATTGAATTTTCATTTTTTCTACTTATGCAAAACTCTTTCTTTTGAATTCGTGGAGAAATGTGTGCCACATATCAAGTGCATGTATCATTGATATAATTGATTTTGAAAATTTACTACGAATCTACAAAAAATAATTCTGAAGAGCATATCAGGAACTTGCAAATCAATAAGAATATCACAAACTTCAATCAAAATGGTATGGACTCGTGACTTTCATGACAGAGGAGGCTGAATGATATGAGATTTGTGAAAAACAACTCTCTACTCACCCAAATACCATAACCTGAACTCAATACTTGAAGAGATGTGTTCCTGTGATTTGCAGTGTCTATCCAATCTGCGAGGCAAATTTTTCAAATCATTATATCCTAATCGCATCCAACATGATGACTTATCGGTTGAAAATAATACGCAGTACCAACGAAATAGCTTATTCCTTACCTCAGATCCCGTCAGCCAGATATATTTTTTATAATAATTATCAGAATTGAACGAACGATTTTGTTTGTTACCTGTTACAATCAGATTTTTTAATTCCGGTGTCGGACGTTTGTTTTTCACAATCAATTTATCTTCATAAGACAAAGCACTGAATGGGTTCACCAAAAAGTATTCCACTAAATAGCAATCGTTCAAAACACTCATTTTTCAGGAATTCATAGAGCCCCTATAACCATTAGCCTAATACATAAACATAAACAATGCACTCGCGTCTGTCCGCAATTCGCGAAGCGACACGACAAACACGTGCTCTTCGGGCGTATTCGGGCATTTGCATTGCGTGCGTAGGTTGCGCAATGTGACGGAGTCTAGCCTCCTATAGATGTTGCCAAGTTGAATATTTTACGCGTGATTTGCAGACTCCAACGTGTGATGCGTGGGGAAGCACTGTTGCCAATTCAAAAATATTTAACTAAAAACAGGAAATAAAATCAAAATCCGTATTTTGGTGTCTTTTTAATGAGAAAGTATTGATAATATTAGTTGAAGGAAAATCTCTGAGGAGGCTCAGCCTCCGCTGCCTCCTCTGAGGAGCCGCCACTGGCAATGAGAGAAAGGAAGTAACGTTAATTCAATGTCAGAAGGTGTACATGACATGCAAGACCAGACCACTCTGACCAGCGTTCTTGGAGTTTTAATTCGCAATGATTATAACGCGAGATTGTTTTGTTTTGTCTTTTGTCTCACGTGGTGGAGGCCGGCTTACCTGAGTAGAAACTGAAGCAGCCAACTCTGCCAATGATCAGATATTTAATTCGATATCGATATTTTCTTTATGCACATTGCACAGTACTTGGAAAAAGGGTTTTCTAAAAAATATTCGACAATTCCACAATATGTACAGTGCTTTCGTAAAGTAATGAACAAATTAATTTTTGGCCAAAGAAAGCAGTGATGGGAAAACCGCAACACTCTATCTCCAAGGATAACTGAGATATCGCGCGAAAGCCTCGAAAACTGGACACACTGTACAATTCGTGCTCACAATACCGTCGAAAATTCGGTCAGAAATCTTGAAATCGGTCAAATCGATTCAATAGTATTACCGGGACGTATTGTCACAGTTCAATAAGGAATTCAACTCCTCAACTCAACTCTTTGGGGACAGATTTGATTTTCATGATGGATCTCAGCATCCACCTAAAAATTATATATTTTCGGGATGTACAAATGAAAAAAAAGGAGTATTTTGCATTATTTAATTAGTTTTTTTTTTTTAAAAATGAGAAAAAATGGTGGTACCTCTATGGTACCAATAGGACACTAATCAACAAATAATATCTGAGACATCATGCTCGTCAGGGCGCATGAAAAATCATTGTGAATTGTGGTTCCAGTGTGGAACCACCAAGACTGAAAGGGCCTGTGGAAATAATTATCCCTGAGAAGCGTATCCCGAAGTTGTGAGAGTTCGTAAATTTCAAAACAGCCTTAGCACTGTACCTACTGCAACATGATAGGAAAGAGAATATTTCAGAGGAATATCCTCGTTTTCGATCGATAATTCATTTAACTGTATTTTTTTCAGCAGTTCTGCAATTATACAGAATATTCCATCAGGTATATGTTTGAATTACCTTGCTCAATGCCTTGCTGATGTTCATCAAATTCCTTCATAGGAGGGCAGTGACCGACTAACGCTACGTATAAGTACCTACAACTGGGGTAAAACGAATCAAAATCTGAGTTATTTTCAGCGCTGCAACCAAAGTACATTCCTTGAGAGTGTAAAAAAATATATACGATTCGAATATCCTTCCTCTAGATCTATCTTATCCGCCTTGAATTTCTCTATTCAACTATGTATCACAATTTGATATTCGTTCATTAATTTGCTGTTAAATTGCATTTTATTGTAATATATGAAGTTGGCTGTGGCCCGAATACAATGACTTTTCGATGCTTGATAGGCTTAGAAATCCAAAGATTATCACTTAGACGAAATTATCAGAACATTTTCCATACCCTAATCTAATCGGTCCCAGAAGATTGCCAATAATTTCATTGAATCAAATTGTGATACATAGTTGAATAGAGAATTTCAAGGCGAATAAGATAGACAATAGAAATATACAGGGTGCTATTTGAAAAAAAAAGTTGGGTCTACTTCCAATCAAACAGGTGGTTGAAAAAAATTGTGATTGGGTTCGAGGGAAGCACCATAATCGATAATATCGCCCTTGTGAATTTCAAATTTTTATCTCTTCAACTAATAATACTATATACAGGCTGTTACATGTCTCCTGCGTCACCCTATTCGTTTCACCACCATTGGCGGTATCAAAATTTTTAATGAAAGGTTTGTGAAAACTATTTCGATGAGCCTAGCCGTTATCTAGAAAAAAGTAGTGCCTTCGCCAAAATTGAGAAGGACTGTCTATTAATGGTAATTACACAGTAAAGTACAAAATCAAGATATCCTATTGAGTCAATGAGAATGAATTTTCTAGATTTATACATTCATGCATCGTTCTGTTGTTGGCGAGATGATTCAATTTTCCAAATAAGTAATCGTTGACACATGAAAATAACGAAATTCTTCCAAGGTCCATTCCTTATCAGATTAAAAATGATCTATACAGCTTAGCTGATATTTATGATCTGAAAAATGCCTGTTATTCGATCGTATGGGATTTTCGTGACTGACAGCATTGTATAGTAGTTCATATTTGCGGTCGGCTCAAGAAGGTTCAAAATATTTTAGTCGGTATTTTAGTTCTGATGGAAACCCCAAACCACATATTATTTCATGTGAATCGACGCCTGTTCAGTGCATACTTGATAGAGTAAAGACGTTATATATGAGTGTTCGGATAGTACAAAAACCTTTTCCTATTCGGTAATTTTTTTTTTGTATTCCTATATACTGGCTATGAAATACTATGTATATTCTGGGTGTAACAGGTACGGGATTCAATTTTTTTCAGCATCACACCAATCGACATGAGTTCATCAGACCTGATCAGAATAGTCATAGCACACTCAGAAAATGAAGCAGATTTCTAAAATGCAATGATATACAGGGTGATCCGTTTAAAAGTCAAAAGTTATTACCACTTCCGGTGAAACCAGAAGTGCAAATGAAACATATTTATGTCAAAACATAACATTTATCAAGTTATTGGATCATTCCAAATTTCAGTCACTTATCTCTGAAACTAAAGGAGAAATAAATGGGGGTGTACCGTGATCCTGCTACATTCGGTATACCTACTATATCCGTTCATAATTCAGAAAT